TAAAGGGAGAGAAAAAGGATAACAAAATTTAGTTCTAAGTTTTTTCTCTAACTCTGTGACCTTGGATAAATTTCTTTATATTCTGTGAGATGCAGGCAAAACCTGCCCCCTACCTAACTTTTGGAGCTGCTGCAAGATTTATTAAACTAGGAGAAAAAAACTCCAAAACTGTTTAGAGGTCTGATGAGATAAGAGTTATATAAATACAAGGCAGTATTGTTATCTCTAAGAGGTGTATGAAGTTGAATTAAATTTTACAACACCTTATGAGTCAAGTAGATAATCTCAGACCCATTTTTACAGATAAGAGGGCTTAAGCTCTCCTGTTCAGGCCACTTAGACTGGGTGTATGTGAAGAGATACCATTACTGAATTCAGAGCTAGGCCAGTATTTGTTGATACCTGAATATATTTTAAAGGGCAGTTTAAAACATCCCATCATCCCCTTGGCAAGCAATGAGGAGAGTCTGCATATTATTCTCCCCAGTTTTCTTTCTGTGGTTCTTCGTGAAATTGATCTGAAATGCAAGACACCTTGTGTCAATGGTATCCAAGGGGAGCCAAGTATTTTGAGAGCTATCAAAAGACGTTGTTCTAATGATGAGACATAAAATGTGATTTAGTGCAGCTGAAGCCAAGATATCCATCAGACACAGAGACCTAGGAAAAGGGGAAGAAGAAAAACCAATGTGACAGTTAATGCAGTCGGTGCAGTAAGGTTCTGTTAGTAGTGAACACACCACTATATTCCTATAAGGTGTATGTGGCTATAACCACATATAACATTACCCCCAATGCTTAAATGAATAAAAGCCAATATAAATTGGAGAATACACATCTTCCCTTCAGCCTAAATAAACTCGCTCACTTGTTTCCAAAAGTAATTGTTCCACATTACTAAAAAATGATTCAAAGAGCTAATTAGAGTGCCTGGCACATAGCAAATTGTCAATAAAGTTACCTGTAATTATTTGGATTTGGAGTAGCAACAGTATTGCAAAAAGTCAAGAACATATTAGGAATAAGATGCCTGGGTTCAAGCCTTGCCTCTTGCACGAAATTGCCATGTGACTCTGCATAGCTGTTTAACGTAATCTTTAAAATGGGGACAATGATAGTACTCAGCTGAGATAAATTTTGTAAAAAACCAAATGATCGGGCACATGTATAATCCTTAGCGTGGTTTCCAGCACACGGGCACATCTGACCTACAGAATGTTAACTCCTAGCAGCTGTGCAGCTAGGGCTGGTACACTAGTGTTGCTCTGCTAGCCAGTTACTTACTGAGCACTTCCATGAGCCAGGCACTGAAGGAGATGCTGGGGAAAGGAAAGATGAACAGGGGAGACATGGTCCTTATCCACATGTTGCTTGGAGGGGGGGTATTAAAAAATCATTCAAATAAAATAATTGAAGCCTGTAACATGCTAAGAAGGAACTAAGAAAGGACTGACGCAGAAAATGTGGAAGATATTTCTTCTTAGGGAGTCGGGGAAAGTCTGTCTAAGGAAGTACATTTAAAGTGAAGGTTTCAAAGGAAAGGAGTCCACCATGTGAATGGGGATGATGGTGGGCGTTCCACATTTAAAGTGAAGGTTTCAAAGGAAAGGAGTCCACCATGTGAATGGGGATGATGGTGGGCGTTCCACGTAGGTGGAACAGCATATGCAAAGGTCACGAGTTGGACAAAACTTGGCACATGGGAGGAAGGGATCGTCCAGAGTGACTGAAGCATATGGGTGAGGAGGGTGAGTGCTGCCAAATGTGACTGAGGAATGGACAGGACCTAGCTCACGTAGGCCTGGTGGGTCGTGGTAAGGAGTGTAGGTATTCTGTTTTGTTTTTGTTTTTGCGGTACGCGGGCCTCTCGCTTTTGTGGCCTCCCCCGTTGAGGAGCACAGGCTCCGGACGCGCAGGCTTAGCGGCCATGGCTCACGGGCCCAGCCGCTCCACGGCACGTGGGATCTTCCCGGACCGGGGCACGAACCCGTGTCCCCTGCATCGGCAGGCGGACTCTCAACCACTGCGCCACCAGGGAAGCCCTAGGTATTCTGTTTGCAAAGGTAAGTTACTGAAGCTTTAAACAGTGGCGAGGAATGGTATTTTTTATACTTTTGAAAGACCACTTTTGCTGCTTTGTAGGGCAAGGCATCTAAACCGTTTTGATCATGTACACCCATCAGCATATGACTCCAAAATGTTTATATGTTCATATTCTCTCTCTCTCTCCCTCGATAGATACATAGATACATAGATATGTATAGATAGATAGATATAGATATATAAATAACATATATATGTTAATCAGTAATTGAATATTAGCTAGTCTATTTCCTGCACACAAATGTATCACCTTGTGATACCATTTTGGCACTTGTACCCCACTTTGGAGATGACTATTGTAGAGAAAGGATGGAGCAAAGCAATCTTGGAGTAGGGAGAGTAGTATGGAGACTGTTGAGCTAGTCCAGGTAAGAAATGATGGTGACTTACATCAGGTGGTGGCATATTTTTCATGTACATAATGAAAAAGACTCCTAATTGGAATTATAGATCTACGCTCTCTAGTGGCCTTTTATATCAACTATTTTGCTAACAAATGACCCATTCCTAATGGATCATATTAATAAAACCCATTGGGTTGCTTATTGGGTTGTTGGGTTGCAAACACCATGAAATAGACTAGCCCACTTTCCCCCATGATTAGCCTATTTCTTGAAGTCCTCTGGAAAAAGATGATGGTTTAGGGAATTACTGGTACTTTCTGCTTGTTGACAAAAGTTCATGGGGACCAGAGCCGTAAGAAATAAAATGAATTTATTTAAAAAAAATAGTTGGAGTCAATTTCTTCTACATCTGTGTAACCTTTTTCACAAATGGATAATTAAAATCAGGCATTAAAAAAGTGCCTGCCTCTACGAATTCTCAGCAAATGGACTGAAAATGCTTTCACTAAAAGGGATTACTGTAGTAGGTGTTTGAAAAGATGGGCACTGTAAACTCCTTGAGGAGGAAATGTCAGCTCTACTTTCCCAAATCTTCAGGAAGAACTTCCTTTTGAAACCAAAGCAATCTAAATTTTGGTAGGGTAATGATAGACTAAGACCAGAAAATGTGAATTTACTAATTTCTTTTCCATTTTGCTTTTTCCAGTCCTATATTTGGATGGGAGTTCATTTGGGTTCTGAGTCTTTAATCTAATCTGGTTTTCCTCTCTTGGAGGAAATCTCACAGAGTGGAAAGGAGGTTAGCAGGGCATAGAAAGAAGGCGTTAAGCAAAGGATCCTGCAAAGCTTTGAAAACTTTTCTGAGGAGAGGAAAACAGCTCTCCTGGGCTTTGACAAAGAGCACTTGCAATTTGGGAGGAAGGAGGTGATAACCTCTGGCTCACCTCTCCTCCATCTAGAAGCCACAACCTGCCAGTGGTCCTTTTTTAGGAGGATTCAGGCTTGGGTAGTAATGGTACTTTTGGAAGAACAGTCTGTGTCTCCTTTAATGATGAACAGGACACTCTTTTGTCCTTTTAAGTATCCAAGTTTTATGGCTGAGAAGCCTGTGCTCTTTGCATTGGCACATTTCTTGGATTGATCATGAGAACAATCATTTTAAATTTTTTTGTAACACACCTCTGGCTTGGAATAAGAGAAACTCCTCTTGTACAGCAGTAAAAAGAGTATTATTCATTAAAGAATAATGATCACACTGTTACTTGCAAGTTGGTCCCATCACAAACTCAGGATTCAGATTTTTCAGTGAGGTTACCTTTGCAAGTGTGAGAATGAACAAACATGTAATTAGAAACTGGGAATTGTACTATTCTGTGGTGGGATTCATTTATTCAATCAATAAAAATTCACAGAATAATTTAACAGCTACCATGTGATAAGAAATTGTTATCTGGCTCATGAAGACTACAAAGACATGTGAAGGTATTTCAGCCCTTAGAAGCAACTTTCTATCTGAAAAAGGCTTGGATTTTGAGAAATGCTTTGTACTTTTCAAAGCCCATTCACCTACTATAAATCTTAATCTGAACTTTTGAATAGTAGCAGGGGAGCTAGGCTGGGCAGACGTTATAATCATATAATTATAGAATTTTAGGAGTGAAAGGGATTTTAAAGGTCATCTAATGCAACAACTTAGTTTTAAACCTAGGAAGCTGATAGATTGCTACTTGTCATAGATTCCACAGCAAACTAATGGCAGAGCATCCAGCACCCACATGAAGTTTCCTATTGAGTCTTAAGCCATGTGTTAGTAGCTCTGGGCTAGGCACGAATGCCACAGGATAGATGGAGCACCATGCCTCCTTTCCTGTATGTATTTGCACACAGAAATATAATAATAGGCTTACAATAATTTATGAATTAATGACTGACAGATGTCCTACCATGTAGGGCACTGTGTCCAAGTACTAAGGATAAAATGGCAAACAGAATGAACTGGTTACTTCTTCCAAGTTGCTCACAACGTAGCCTTCCCGTCCTCAATGAGTGTGCAGTCCCTTAGGGAAGCCAAGACACGCCCACAAAATGCAGTAAGATTGGGTTCAAATACAGTGAGTGCTTTATTTAGGAGGTCAAGGAAGAAATCTAAGCGTCATAATTGATGGGAAAATCCCCCAGAACACACACACACACACACACACACACACACACACACACACACACCTGCGATCTTTTAATTACATCATTCTCTGCTGATGCTGGGACACACAGACTCTTCCCAAGGTAAGGTCAAGGTGCCAACTCACTGAGACTAAGAATGGAAAGAGCAGAAGCCCATTCATCCCTATTTTCTAAACTGAAAATGACCAGGGAGAAAGAAAAGAAAAAAGAAACAGCTACAGAGACTGATAGAAACAAACAGGAATAGGAAGTCCCCAGCACAGTGACCACTCCGCCAGGTCCGGGCTGGCCGCCCCCACGGGAGGGGCACTCGGGCTCTGCGCGGAGGCCGGCGGCCGCGGGGGCGCACAGCGCGGCGGCGAGGAGCGGGCGGCGGCGGCACAGGCGAGCCCAAGGGGAGGGTCGGCGGCGCCTCCAGTCCCCGCAGCCAACCGCGCGCAGCGCAGCTCGGGAGCGGGACGCGGCGCTCGAAGCCCCGGCAGCGCCCGCCCTCTCTTCCGTGTTGCCTGCCCGCGCGCCAGCGCCCGCTCCGCCCGTGACTTCACTTCGGCTCCACCCCCGCGTGGCGGCGGCTCGCTCCGTCCGAGCCCGCGCTCGGCACCAGCCCAGCCCGGGCAAGCGGCCGCCACCTGCCCCGAACCGCCTCTGCCCGCCCCCACCGCGGCCCAACTTGGATGGAGTTGGGGTCCTGAGCTCCTGCTCCTCGTAACCGGCCAGCGGAGAGCCCCGCGCCGCCACCTCCGGTCCGGGACCCCCTCTCAGCTCCTCTCCGCTCCCGCAATGGGAAAAGTTGGCGCCGGCGGCGGCTCCCCAGCCGGGCTGAGCGCGCTCCTCGCCGGCGCGGGGCTCTTAGTCCTCTGCGCCCCGGGCGCCTGCGGCGGCGGCTCCTGCGGTCCCCCGCTGCACCCCAGCTCGGCCCCACGCTGGGCTCCGACCCGAGGAGGGCTTACTCACCTGCGGCCGCGAGGCAGGGCTCCTGCCACGCCCCTGCTCGGACGCCCCCTGTTTGCAGTGGCCGCCGGAGACCGAGCGCTGTCCCTGGAGCGGGCCCCGGGCACTGGGGCGTCGGTGGCGATTGCTCCACGCTCTGACCGGAGGAGACGGAGTGGAGAGGATCAAGAGAAGGCAGAACGGGGAGAGGGCACGAGAAGACGCCCCCGGGGAGTGCTAAGGGACAGAGGGCAGCAGGAGCCTGGGACTCTGGAGCGGGACCCGGACAAAGCCACTCGCTTCCGGCTGGAGGAGCTGAAACTGACCAGCACTACGTTCCCGCTGACAGGAGACTCAGCACACAACCAAGCCATGGTCCACTGGTCTGGCCACAACAGCAGCGTGAGTATAATGGGACTGAGGGCAAAGGGGTGGAAAATGGAAAGGGTTAAAGTCGGCTGTGTGATCTGATTGAGAATTTGGGGAAATGGGGTTTCTGGACTTGAAACATTGTGCAAACTAAAGTCTTCCCTGCCCGCCTCCCCAAGGATTTAATGTCACCAACTAGGAGACCACCCCTTTCCCACCAACACCGGAGTCCTCTCCAAACCTCTAACAAAGCTTTATACAGGGCAGACAGATCCCTCTTTCCCGTTTCTTTGGTCTCCTTTGTGTAGGATGGAGCCGAAGACCAGGCAAGCAGAGCGGGTTAAAGTATTCTGAATGCAGAGGTGAAAGGGTTAAAATTCCAGGCAGTCTGGTGTTCCCTCAAGTGACTTTCTCTTTAACTTGCTAGACTTATGGATGAGAGCACGTAAGATCAAAAAGTCTTTATTCGTAGCCTTTTAATTTTATTTTTGTGCGAAGCTCCTAACCCCCTCTTCCCAGCACGGAAGAGAAATTCAGTGGATGGTAAGGAGTCCTTAATGTATTCTGTTTCTGGGGACCAAGTGGATGCAAGTTTCAGGACGGGAACTCTCCAGCATCTTCTAACAGCACCAGCCAGTGTGTTTTGAGAGCTGGGGCTTTCCAGCCTGTGAATGAGTGGTTGTTCTCTGGCTTGATCTGTCCCAGGAAGATCAGATATGTCCCTGTGACAACAACTCCCTGTTCTCCCCCATTGCCTGACCTCCTCTAGTGAAGAGCACAGATAAAGACGTAGCTCTCCCTTTATTAAGTGGGGAGAGGGATTGCTGGATTTCCAGGAGGCTGTCACTGGGGAGCGTGGGTGCAAGTCCATGAGCTGTGCCCAAGATCAGGGAAGGTTTTAGATGTTTGGAAAAGCCTGCATGTCTGGAATCTGAGGGAGCTATTCCAGTTTAAACTGCACCTGGAAACTTCAAGGAGCTGAAATAGTAAAGAAAGAGCTTTGGTGGTGATAACTGCAGGTGATTTAGAGGTATGGAAACTTCACCAGGCTGCATTGAAGCAGACAAGAAAATAAAAACCAAGGATGGGTAAACTGAAAAAAAAAATCAAAGTTTCAGCTTCTGTCAGGTTACTGAGATTGTAGTATTTGTACTATGCGCAGTCTGTGCGTCCTGGTACATTTCAGAATGTTTTCGGTTGTGATGTTATTGCCAGAAGCCTTCCCAGGGAAGTGCCACTTCAGTGAATTGTGCTCACTGCTAGCTTTTTTAATGAAAGTTGTGAACATCTTAAAATAAGAGGCTGCCGTTATGGATTCTTCGGGTACATAGATATAAATTGTATTAAGGCAAATTGTGATAAATAGTATTTTGTATCGTGTCTCTGTCCTGAGAGCCTCAGCACGGTTTTCCCTACAATTCAGCCTTCATGACCAAGGCTATGGTTTTATATGGTTCTCCGAACTGGTTTGATCAAATAATTGAAGCTGAAATTCTTTTCATTCAAGTTCTGGAGACCCTTGCCCTCATTCCTTACCTGAACTGTCCTATCTCTCATATCATAACCACTGAAATTAATCCCCCTATTTGAACCTGAATCTTCTTAAACTGATCAGATAACTTTCGCACTGCTTTAGATGATTAACTCAAAGCTTCTAGCTTTAAGGGGCAATTTTAAACACATCAAACATATTAAATCTTGTATCGAGAAGTAAAGGACTTTGGACTCAAAATATTTCTGGCTTTTAATGTAATTCAAGCCGTAAAATATCACTCACCCATTAGACCTCTAGTCACCTATTGAAAGATCTTGGAAAGAGCAAGAAAGGGAGAGTACATCTTTGGCAAGTTTTAAACTCCATTTAAGAAATGGTGCCAAGCACTGCCAGCCTTTTTTTTTTTTTTTTAAATGGTGCTTATAAACCCAGTCAGGCTTCTTAGGGTCAGGGCTTGAAGGGGTGACACGTAAGAAAGTCTGAGATAATGTAGGAAATAATCAAGGTGTTAAAAGTTGGAGCACTCAAATCGTGTATACGAATGAGATTTCTATCGTATTAAGTCTCTCATTCTATAAGGACATACCCTCCATCCATGCCCACCTACATACAAATTGTTGTTGTTTTTCTTCAGTGTATATGTATAAGTAGTAGAGGAAGAGAAATAGTCTTGTATCAGTATCCTCCACAAAGTAGTCCCAGATTCGTAGGAGAGATAAAGTTTAAAATATATTTTGAAGGTAAGGGAGGCAGAAAGAAACTTTTCTAGACAACTTTGTGATGTGAAAAGCAGAGTGGAGACCTGAGTTCTGGTTCTGCGTATTTGTGGTTTGATCTTGGCAAGCTGATTGCCTGAGTGTGAATTTCCTCATCTCTAAAACAGGAGGGGAGGATGCCTGTCAGATTCATTACTGAGAATTACAGGCCAGGATATAGTTAAGAGAGTGTTGTGACTGTAAAGTACTGTATACCTCTTTGTAACTCTCATCTCGTGGCACTTCATATTCCCCCCAGAGCAAGAAATCCACTAACCTAACACTGAGGATAGCAGTGGGTGGGAGCTCTCATTTTCTTCTCATTTAGCTGCTGTCCCCCATAAATCCACCCCCAGCCCATTCAGGACCTCTGGCAGTACACGTCCTCTGGACCTATCTCACCTTTAGCTAAAACCCTTTGCTAAGTAGGGCTTCTGATGACAATAACACCTGCATTAAAGGTGTAAATGTATGGTAATTATAGGCTGCCTATCAAACTTGTGAAGAACTCTGGATCCTTCTCTCACCTCCTTCCCTTCTCCTTCCTGCCCCCTCCGCTGTTGGACTTATGCAGTTGTGTAAGGATATGACTGTTTTGCCTTGTCCGTGGGTGTGATGTGATTCCTCTGTACTGCAGTCTAGCTTGATGGAAAGTGTTGATGGAGTTGGTGGAACACCTGGGGGGATCTTTTGGCATGAAAAGTGCTGGGTATGAATCATTTGTCATGAGCTTGGTATCGTAAGCAAGAACATATTGTTCCTACCCTACTCATCCAAGGCATGCTGTGCCCTGATCTAAATTTATAGAGTAACTCTTAGTTTGTTAAAATATATATTTGTCTATACCTATGTATGATGGGGATGCGTTTATTCCTTATTTCCAAGGAATTTCAAAGTGCTACACTCATTAATCCTTACAATATCCCTGTTAGGTAATAGACAGGTGTCAAGTGTTAATATCTCTTTTTCATATTTTTATGCTGGAGTCAATTTGAATATTTCAGTTCACTGTCTTGTCCCTTTCTCACTAGAAATAGTGTTACAAATTGTTAACAGAGGCTTTTACTTGACATATTTTGCTGTTATGACATCTTTAATACTGCATTTATTGTAGTGAATGACGATCTGGTTGGTTTTCATGTAATTCTTTGCCTTTTGTTATTCTGGGACTTGACATTTACCATCCACCCTTAGTGAGTAAACTGAGTCCGAGTGAGTCAGGTTTTTGAGTAATGTCTTACATTCATCGTTTCACTTAATTTTCACAAAAATGTTATGAGTAGTTATTATTATCCCCATTACATTAATGAGGAAACTGAGGCTCCAGAAGGCTAAATGACTTGCCAAGAAGATATAACAGTTCAGTGGCAAAGCAGAGGCTGGCACCCAGGGTGATCTGACTTCAAAACCCCACAGAAGGGCTTGTCTTAGAGACTTTAAGGTAGGACAGAAAAACTCAGATCTTTGGGGATCTGTATTTTAAATAATCCTGTTTTGGGTGGATTTCAGATGGTGGTGAAGGAAGACATAGTCTTAGCCGGAAGCTCTATCTCTTTGTAGAAAAGCAAGGACTGTATAGCATGTGCCTGTCACATTGCACCCTTTACCTTAAAGTAGTGATTTGGCTGTTCTCTTATCCACCCACATCTTCATCTTTACTGAGACATGGAATCTGTACCTGATGATTCATTGAGCACGAGGTAATGTGCCATCATTCAGCTTTCAGATCTGGTGTTCTTCAGGAATAGATTCCTCTTCTAAGTTAATTACAAATATGATTTTATAAAGAGTTGCCTATGAACACTTGATTTGGCTATACATTTTGACATAAGTTTTTTTACCTTTTTTTCCAAAGTAAACTGACGAAGGATTTTAGATTTCTCTAGCAAGCCACATAATACCTTCTCTGATCAGTGTTTTATGCTATTAATGGGTGTTAATATGGTATGACATGGAAGGCAGTGGGTTTGGAAGCAGATTTGAGTTTGAATGTTAGCTCTCCTGCTTCCCAGCACTTTGCTTTGAGCAAGACACTTAAATTCTTTGATTTTCTGTTTGCTCAACTAAAATATGGGGAGGGCACGTCTTTTTCTGTTTTGTTTTGTTTTGTTTTTTTCCCCAGAAGATTTGACATCACATATACAAACTGGCTGGTACATAGTAAGTGCTCAATAAATGCTACTTCTTATTTTTGTAGAAGAAGTACTTCTCTACTGGGTTTTTAAGACTCCTGGGTTATAGTCCTGGCTGTACACAAAAATTAGATATGTAGTGACAGCCTGTAAAAATTTTGTGGCCTCAATTTTATCCTCTGTAAAATGACACAAATAGGCCAGAGCATCACTGAAATCCCTTACAGGTTGAAATTCATTAAAAATTTTTGTCAACCTGTAGGTATTGTGCACCTACTACATCTAAATAAAGTCCACTGGGAGTGTTCAGGATGCAGAAATGACACAATGGCTTATACCCTTGACCTGTAAGTGAGCAAGCCTTTCATTTCACAAGATTCTTCCTCTTTCCATGGTTTATATGCACATCTATTAATAGGAAATTAAGGCATTTGAGACCCAAGCAGGCATTCATTTCAATGTAGATTTGCAGCAAAATATAGTTTATTAGGTTTATTGCATCATATCTTCAGGTTAAGGCACTTGGTATCTTTGAACAAAAAAAGTGCTTAATGTGAAATTGGAAAGTAAAGATCTCTTAAGATATTTTAATGGGATTTTCTAGACTCATCAGTGTTGACTATGTCCACATCCTTTTTTTTTCTTTTTTTT